ATAGATGTAATAATCAATGCGAATTATATCTTCATTCTAGTCGCGATCGCGTTTGTTAGAACAGAAATATTCGACAATAAATAATCCACGCATTTTGTTCGCATATACATGCTTAATATGGGTTTAATATTTCCGTGAGATTTGAAGGAAAAATAGTGCGTTGTGTGTCACATTTTCGAAATACAAGCAGAAAAGTATACCAGAAAAAATTTAGGATTATTGCAACTGATAAATTCGGTATTATTGCAAGTATAAATCTCCATTATTATTTTAACAGTTGGCATCACTGCGGCGACTTCCCGCGTATTTTATTCTAACAGAGTTGGCACTACTGCGACGATCCCGCGTAAATTTCGTGCATCGCGCCGCGCGCATCGTAGTTTCGTATAATCGTAATTGCCGCGTGTTGTTCTCTCAAATATGCGTCGCATATAATTAATAAAATGCATAAAATATGCACATAATTAAAATCGGGAGTGTCGTATAAACAGTCATGTACGAATGTCGGGAGTTCCGCACAATGTATTCGCGTGATTAAAATCGGGAGTGCCATGTATAGAATCACGTATGATTAATGTCAGGAGTGTCGTATGATTATATTTTATTTTGTTAATTAATGCGCGTGTATGATTGTATTTTCGCAATCGTGTGTTATGTAAGTGCCAAAACTATGAACAGAAAGAGATGGAGGGAGAAGAGAGATCCGGGCCCGGGGAGGTATCGGGCAACGGAGGAGCAACCATGTGGTAAGCAGATTATAATTTTAAAAATATTAAATTTATTATCTAATTTTTATTAAAATAAAGTTTAAAATAAGCTAATATTAACAATTAATTTGAAATAAAATTTAAGAAATTTTATATATATATATATATATATATATATATATATAATTTTGATGTTTTACAATTTATTTAACTTGCATTTTAAAATTAAATTTTATTATATTTTATATAAATTTAGATAAAAAATATAATTAAGTGTAATAATTGTTTTTACGTAATTTTATTAAATATATTTTACAATACGAATAAAAATTTAATTGCGCATTATTGACTTTTTCAAATATTATTTTGAAAACTATTTTGTATATATATAATGTATTTTTTATGTTATATATAGATCGCTTTAAACTGTAGAACTCCGCTGCTACACATCATCGGTGAGTGTGCATGCATAAATTATCTGTATAAGTAAATACTGTATAAATATGGACCAGTAATTAACTAGAGCGCAATTCTTAAAACAGTTAAGAAATTTGTCTCTTTGTGACTCCTGCAGATTCTTCTTTATATTATATTTCGAAAAAAACCAATGGAAAATAAACAATTCAAAATAAATTTTACTCAACAGAAAATATATGTTCATCTTCTTCTTTAATTTATCTGAAAAAGATCAGGTAAGGTAAATTTATCAAGAGGTTGATAACAACCAGTCCTTAAAGAGGCAATAATAAAAATAGTCTGTTCACATATTAACAATTTTATTTATAATCTCGGTTTGTTTAACATACAAGAGCTATTTCACAACATTGCGCATCCAGTATGTATAGTTGTATAATATACGTATATGTTATAGATAAATCTAAGTTATACATTGATATGATCACGTTACAGGGATTTTGTACAAAGAGCGCACAAGTACAATATATACTACTCGATTTGTTCATAACTGCATTCACAAAAACCGATTCGATTCCAAAAACTGTTAATCTCTTTCATCTACTTTCTATCTTGTATCTCAATAATCATCCTGGTGTCCTCCTATACGTATATAGATAACTACGAAAAAGTGTACACGAATAGTACATGATTTTATTTTTTTTCAAAATTTTTTTTCGTTATAATTAAAAAATTAAATCTCTCAAGTCTTAGTATTCAGTAGCAAGAAATACTTTTAAGATCGTGCTAATCATTTCGAACTTAATTAAAATTGTAAATATATAAACAAGTAAAATATAAAAAATGTAATAAAAGTATAAAATAGAAACTATAAATATATTTAATTAAAATATTTAGTTAAAGATATATAAAATTAATTCTAAAAATTTATAAATACGCGAGATGATAGTGAAAACTATTGTATGTCCTTTTAATAGCAATTTTTTTTAATCAATTTAAGAATGATTTCTTCTTAGCAAAAATGTGTCAAAAAATCAATAATGTTATCAAATTATAAACGAATTAAACAAGAAGGGCTTTGTGAAGTTAAAAAATTATAAAAATTCTAATCTTTAATTAATTTTTGATGGAATTCATTTTATTAATAAAATTTTAATTTCAGATTTACTTACAAAAATATAATGTTTAAATTATACAGTGGAAAAATTATATGTAATTAAAACTTATGAAAAATGATTTTTTCGATATTTTTGTTGAGAAAGAAATCAACTTCAAATTGACTAGAGCATCTATTACCGAGATCCTAATAGTTTTGAAATATCGTACATATTGTCTCCATTAAAATAATACAAAATAATATCTGCATCTAAGACTATTCTGTACATCTTTTTCGGGACACCTTACACATTAGGCTGTTTTTTTGCGATGCGAATAATTGGATATCTAGCGCGGGATATAAAATATGTTCCCATCGTATATACCATGTGATGTCTTAGTTACAAATTTTCTATAAATATGACGTAAGTATTTCAATTTTTTTATGGGATGCGAATAATATATTTTATTTCTGTCTCAATTATATAAATTTTATGTGATTGCAATTTTATTTTATTTTAAAAACATTTTAATAGATTCACGCAATTAATGTCACAATGTGACATTTGCGTTCCTTTTAAATTTTCGTCGCAAATGCGATTTGCCTTTTTGTAGACAAGCCCGACGAAAAAGCAGACCACATTTAATCTTTCTAATTCCTTTTTCTCAACACAATTTAAATATATCTTTTACCGGAGAATAACAAAAGTAACGGTTGAAACAGGAAGTCAGGAATAAATGAAATAATGATTGCGGCGTTATAACAATAGCTCTCAAATCCTGTGGGCATTTATATGCTACAAAATTTCTCGGAAAAATTACAAACTCTTTTTGCAAAACGCGCAGACGAATGTCCAATTATCGTCTATCACAAATTTTATTGTATATATACTGTCCGTTATGAATTGGATTCGTCGTCAAAAACCGCGTTACGTGCTAAATTATATCATTACACTATTGTTATCATTAATTGTTATTGTTGCTGTCGACGTACATACTGCATACAATACAACAAGAAAAGTAATCATCCTTATAGATATATATACGCTATCCGGGTCTCTCTCTATCTCGTCGGTATACTACGTACATATTGTCTCCGAAGTACATACACACACGTGCGGAAATACAGTCTGCGGTTTATAGACAGTAAACGTATGGTGTGTGTGCGCACGGGTTGTTTGCACGATTACGTACGTGTACGTATAAATAAATCTAATGTATATAGGCTATACGATTATACATACGAGATATATAAGACAAGTCACATTGAAAAAATATATGTATGTTTTAAGTAGGAAGGAAGAGAAGACGCGAGCTACATACGTGCGTTCGTATATAAGCACATGGATATGTCTGGTTCATTGGCGGTGGCGGGGAATCGTTCAAAGTTTTTTTACATTCTCTCGTTCAATTCGTATGTAATTTTCGAATTTCAAGTTACATTCGTTATCCTCCTACTTTCTCCTCGTCAATGAGGAATTTCCTTCATTTGGCTTCGCCGATTTTATCTGGTCTTTTCTCGCAACTTCATTTCTCGTTATTCATTCCTATCTCTGCATCTCGCAAGTTTACGTTGTGTGTATTACATTATATTATCACTGACGAGTTGTTGCCGCATGTTCCACCGCAGCGTGAAATATGTACGAACGAGAGGAGATGTGTCTATATAAGCGTGCGCTGTTAGTTAGCATCTGAAAATAATTTGGGTTCGCCACCCGAGAATTCGCAAGCCACCGGAGAAACGAACTTCCGGGCGTGTATGTACAAGCAACCGAGAAGTTACGGAACGTAATCGTGTATTATGTAACGCTATCGTGATCCGCACACCGGAGTAGTGTCTGCCGTTCGCGTTGCATCGAGCGTGTAAATCTTAAAGTTGATCGTACCGCGACAGAGTTTCGGAAGGAAACGAGAGCTTTCAGCATCAGTGTCGCTTCGGTTTCATCTTAAATCTAACCCTTTTTTTACGGTATATGTACACGTACCTCCTTCATCTCTTCGCGTTGGTGCGACGGCTTCATTCCGCGCATATAAGATTCGCAATTAGGAATTTCTCATTAGATATAAATATTACACGCTGTTGTACTCGCAGCGAGCGAGTACGAGAGACTTATATTAGTAATAAAAGGGAGACTTTACTTTTTTTACTTAATTTTATTTTTTACGAGAAACTTTATATTAATAATAAAAGGTAAAACATAGGAACAGTCTAATAACACAGTTGTTAACAACTAACCTACGATTAAGTCTATAAACTTGTTCTCACAAATCAACCGCCATAGGGTGATTTAAATAAGTCTTAAATTAATACAGAAAAATATACATTACAAAAATATATGAAAAAAATTGATATTGTAGAGTAAACAAAAAATTTCGATAATATAAATTTTTATAATATAATAAAAAATAAAAAAATAAAAGAAATATTTTTATCTCATAAGAGACAATCGCTTCTGATTGCTACAAATTTAAATATGTGCATACAGAAAAAAAGCGAATACTTTTTATATTTCATATAAACATTCGTTAATACAACACGAGATAATAATGATGGTCCAGAGATCAAGGGAACTAATACTACGGTGAAGACCTGTCTCTTTTATGATTTTTTTTTTAAATTTAAGTTAGAGTGTCCTCTACGATAGATTAACATTAATACATTTATACCTATATTAATTTTAACCGTAATTACGCTACAGTTTTTTAATTATAATTTACAAGTTACACGGTGCGTGTCATATGAAGTCTAGGGATTCAAGAGGATTCGGCAAATACATTTTATGAATTTGGTTCTCTCTCATCTCTTTCTCTTCCCTTCTCTCTTTTAAAGTTCGTAACACACACTCACTATCGCTTACAGATAATACTGAATCTACATAAAGTATTTTCAGCCGGACCCAAGAGAGAATTATGCAGTATTTCGTGCGCGATATTTGATTCTTTTCCGATATTCGCTTTATCCTTGAATTAGCGCGATGCTAACAACAGATTTATGTCTGGTAATAAACTATTGACGAGTTGTAAATCATCCGCTGCTATTAACTCTTAAAGGCATCTTTTTCATTCATCAATGTAGATGAAAGTAATTAGTGTATGTCTCGGACTTGACAAAATTCTAACTTGATAGAGTTTGTATAATTTTAGAAAGATTTTTGAAAAGTTTGTAGAATACTTTGCCGCATTTCTTTGTTTATGAACAATAAACCGTAATTTACAAATGAAAGATTCATTATTTAAGAGTTAATATAGCGATCAAAGTCACCGGCTCTTATATCGACAATCGCGTATATAAAACAGTTAGTGAATCGTTTGCATTTGCGTGTAATCGCAAAATTGTGTTCGCTGATAATCGCGCGCTCTCTTTGGGGATCAACGACAGTCTTTTACAAAGGTACGATTTTCTCGTTTCGATGCACCGGGGTGTCGTAGGCGGGCACACACTTGTAATATTGCGGCGGATATGACGCATACGAGGCTTCCGAGGGTGACAGACGGCCGCGGAATCGGTTGCGTACGATGTGGATAATCAGTAATAGGCACAGTAGCGCGAGTACGACAATTAACGTAATCGGCACTGTGCCCCAACCTCGGCTAGTGATCTGGTTAACCGTGTCGTTCTTCTCAATCGCCTGGAACAAACGAGTTTTAGAGATCGCTCTCTTTAATTGGCTATTCTCTATTAAGTACAATCTATCTTTAAAGATTTTGTGTGTTCGCAAAAAGTATCTTAGAAATAATTAAATAATTTATTTAAAACATTAATGTATATCGATATCGGCAGCGTTAAAGGAATCAATGATACTAAATTTACCGTAATCGGACACAGGGGGCAACAAGTGCCCGATTTCGGTGGCAGCGGATTACTGCAAGCCACCGAGCAGATGGTTTCTTTACAATTAAGCCGTCCGCCGGCCTCGCAAGTACACGTGGTGCAGCTGTTCGGGTGCCAAGTCGATCCCTCCGAATGCGTCTTGTTCAAATGGTCCATGCACGAAGCTCGACAGCGGCATATCTGCAAAGAGATTGTCAGTTATTCGGCGAGTAATAATTGTTGCTTTCCATTTACATAAAAAAAGAGAAAAAAATCTCACTTTTGTCCTTCTTTAACATGGATGGATTTATCCGAGTTTTGATGTAAGTGGAAAGCAACTATTAGCGCGTTATACTTACGGGACAGCCGCGTTTGTTCGTTTTGTAACCGAAACTGCATCTTTTCCTGCATCCGACAAGCGGCACGCAGCCGGCGGTGGACGGCTTGCATTCGCAGAAGGTGCAGTCGTTCTCGTCCATGACGAGGCCGCGTTCGCAGTGAAGGTCGCATTTGACCTCGGGACAGATCCTCTTGTCGTTAGACGCGTCCAGGGCGGTGTCGTTCGGCGGATAATAACGCGGCGGCGTCTGACAGGCGCACACCGTGCAACCATCCTCGTCCTTGACGAGGTCGCAGTTTAGTCCACAGTGCGGTAGTTCCGGACAAACTTTGTAATCCTCCGGTAGCACATCCGGCGCGAGGTCGACCGCCTGAGAAGACAGAAGACGGGAGTCGTCAACTCGTCGCGAGATAGATAAAACGTGCACGGTGAGAGAGAGAGAGAGGAGACCGCCGGAATTTCTCTTATCCACGAACTTCGCTCCGCGATAGTTGCGAGAAGAAATCTTACACCAGCTGCGCGGTTACGTTTCGAGGAAGATAAGGGAAACTGTGTCTCTTCCCTTATCCGGGTCACGGCTGGAAATCCGTATGGCATGATGTTGCCGAGACGAGTTGTACGTTGTACTAGGGTTGATAGCAAACGTTTCGCGGTGGACGAGAAGACATTACGAGAAATTGCATCGTAGATAAACGTCAATCGCGGAGCAGCTTTTATTCATTGTACTGCATTGTATTTACCTTGTGCGCTCACTAATCGTATTTGTAACATTAGACGTTATATAATAATATCTACATATAACAAAATAAAAGATATATAGCTATTAATTCGAAAAAGAAACTCGAACAAAAATATTGATTAAAATTGTAATTTTTTGCAGTGCAATCTTTCGTAACATCTTTTTTTATTAACAATAAATTCTGCTGAAAAGTATTCGCGGTCGTTTGACATTCTTACCAAATCGTCGGCGCACTCGCAAATCGGACAGTTATTTTTATCGGTGCGCAAACCGTGGAAGCACTTCATCTTGCAATCGTCCACCGACGTTTCGCAAGACTCGTTGTCAGAATCGAGATCGAAGCCGGTGCTACTGTTCGTAGGCGGTGGACAGTGAGGACAGCACTCGCCAGGATCGGGCTGTATCGCGTTCTCGCAGGACTTGCACATGGTAGTTTGACAGGACGCGGTTCCGTCCTCGTTGCAGACGCAAGTGACGCATTCGTTTTGCTTCCACTCCTCGCCGAGTCTTCTCGACACGTTCTCGTGAATACAGTTCTGCGGCTTTTCCTCGGGTTTCACCCAGGAGATCGGATCTAAGAGAACCGACGAACAGAAAGTTGAAGTTAGATAGAAATTAAAGACGTTAATGATTGGAAAAATCCATACCGCTGTGAAAAATAATTAATGATATGATATAATATAATATATAATCGAGTTTATTAAGTTCTCAAATAAAAACGAAAAAAAAGATGTAGCGCAGCTACTAGATCTATTACTGCAGCATTAAATATTTTAAAGAATCGCTCTCAGTTCGATAGAAAATTGTAAAAATGTTCGAAGATATTTTTTTGGCCGCAACTCTACGTTCAAATGTTACCATCCTCGATTATATCTCTCCTCGGAAGATTTTTCTGATTTACGCTAGAAAGTTATGGGAAATATTTTTCGAAGGCGGTTTATAAATAAGTCACGCACGGCATCTCGCTGCCGGGAAGCGTCGCTAATCCAAATATGGTAGTTTCGCGAGCGAACGAGGAAAACTTGGGACGAGAGGTAGAGAGAAAGAGGAGGAACGAGTACCTCAATGTTTCCGGAGTTTGCAAACTCTTGCATAAAAATTGTTGCGACGGATTTTTCGACGTCGAGAGCGCACCTTCTCTCAGTCAGACGCGACCTCGCCTTGTCCCGGCGAGAAAAATGGCAGTCTCGGACAAAAGTGCAATCACGTTTTTTTAACGAGTCCTTCATCTCACCGGACGATTTTTGCTCGACGACGACGACGAGTCACCACGTTATTAACCGGACGGCCGTTAATTATGCATACGAGATTACGAGAGCGCGGCGTTTACGACGCTCCTCTTCGACGATCAAGTTATTATTCGCCAATTTTCCAACGGCGACAAGCGCTCGGTAATCATCAAAGCGGCGGAAATTGCAGAATCTCATAAAGATTTGCAATCTCGCTTAATATTCATAGTTCCCCTTGACGCATACACACACGTACAAAGTTGTCTTACGCCTCCTCTCTCTGGTGTCGCGGAAATCTGATTATCCGCGACATTATTTCGTTAGACGAACGACTAGCGGGATCGTATCGCTGTCATTAAAACTGTCGAGCGTTTTTGACGCCAAACCACAAGCAATTAAGGTCCATTGATGATTTCGCTATTTTCGCGAGCATCGTTTAGAGCGCTATTATTTATGCATTTCTTTCCCTGCCTTTCTTCCTCGTTATATACATCTATATATTATAAGCAACTACCTCTATGTGAAATTTACATGCCCAAGTGCACTCCACGGGTAGTAAAACCCTTGAAGCGTTGATCTTTTCTGCATGAGACATATTATGCTAGATGTGCTGTCGGTCTTTCTTCAAATCGCCGTCGCCGTTGGCGTTGATGAAATGAACTTGTCGTCGCCTCAGAAATGGAGTGCGCGTGTATCATATTGTTCTCTCTTTGCAATTTAAAATTTGATTTGATTTCTTTCGCGATTCAATGATAAATGCTCCGCGGAAACGAAAATAGATAGAAATAGGGATTTATTAAGAATAAAATCTCGAATTGAGATTTATTTCATTACTTGATACCCCAGGGCAATGTACGACTAATCAATTTCGTGGAAAAATTAATTTTTCCCAGCTTTTTCAGACCCGTTGAAATTTAATGTGTATTTCACACATCGAAAGCCTGATTAGTCTTACGAATTAACGTTTCAGCTTTCCGATTTTTTACTCACGTGCATATCACCGTCAAAGTATATCAAAGTAATACAGGGTGTTAAAAAAAAGATTACACAAGAACAGATATTGACTACAATAATTAAAAAAATCTAATAAATGTAGATCCTACAATTAATATCATAAATCCTTATATTAATATTAATATAAAAGTAATACGATCAATAAGAAAAAGACAAGATAGTCTGTGTATCTTGGAAGATATTAAATGTTTGGATGTTTATTTGATCTTTTTTTTCCTTTTGATCAATACTACTACTCTCAAATATGTCATCCTTTTTTAACAACCTGTATAAAAATATTAATGTGTATCTGCCTTTCGAGGCATCGATTTTAACGCGGACGCGCTTTTTGCATCCAGCATGAAAAAGAAACATGTGGGTCAGGCGGTCGGACGCGGACGTGCGCCAATATATACATCTATCCCCGGCCGTCTCATTTACGAGCGTTCATTCATAACGCTTCCCGAACTTTTAAAGTGGCACATTCATTCCCGTGAAAAATCGGCGGCACGGTAACGCGGCGGCAAAAACAATTTTCGAGACCCGCATCGCTAACGCGTACGTAGCGTTCATAACTCCCATTATTTCCTTGTCGCTACACACGTATGTATATGTGTAGCATACGTTCTCGCGTTGAAAGGGAAAAAATTCGAACGAATTTTTTTCTCATCCGATATATATACGCGTCGGTCGGTCGTTGGCTGCCAGCCGGATGCAGTCCCTCGCGTACGTATATGTAATACGTTTTCCCGCCATTTCGCATACAGAGCCTACCGTACGTTGGAAAGAGTTAAATTCTTTTGCAAGAAATATGAAAGAGAGTAGTGAGTGCATCCCTCTCTTTATGCGCTCGAGGCTTTTCATTTTATTCCGTTTTCGTTATTCGGGATGTTTCATTACTCTTTGTTGCCCCATATTGCGGCGAGGAGACGATATCGACGGTTCAAATTGGGAGCAATAATAAAAGCGCTTTGGATAGAAAATATTAAAAGGGCATAATATCTCTCAGTAGAGGAAGAGAGAGAGAGAGAGAGAAAGAGGGAATGAAGGTTCGACAAAGGATCGTGAGAAACAAAGGCGCGTTAAATGAAGAATCGTAAGGTCTAACGAGATGTGAGCAAAACAAGTTGAAAATTAAAAAATTACCCGCTTGGATTAATATTCTGGACTTAAGATCAAACGAGAAAAATAATCGCGTACATGTAGATACAAATAAATTCGCTCGGAAGCGAATCGTTTAACAGCTTTGCTTAGAATACAAATCTCGATCGGGAAACAATTATTTTTGTAATTAACATTAGCAAAGTATACTTTTGCAACGGAAACCGGTGAGAGAATGAGAGACAGAAGTCTGTATAATTTAAATTGGTTGTATCGCTATTTATCGCTGTGTGGTATCAGGGTTTACGTCAATATTTATCGTCACGTGTACTTTTCGACGAAAGCGTATTAATTAAACGACGCATCAACCGTGTACGCGCGACCGATAATGCGGACTGTGGGCTAATGAATATTGTTAACAAGGTAGAACGCTGTTTAATTGTCGCGTAGCTGTTTAAACACTGTTCTGCGCGACAGAGAACCAAAGTGAATTTACCGTATGACATAAAACAATATTAATTGCCGGGAATCTAATAGATTGAAAGCGATCTATAATCGATCGGAATGTATCGATATACGTTTTGCACATATGTATTTCCATCATTTTCAATGCAGTTAGATAGTCTAATCATTCCCAGAAGCTGTTGGTTTTCAGTTAAATTAAAGGAAAAAATTATGCCAGATCCTCATTTTTAAGCATGGAAATAATAGATTACAATATACAGATATTGAAAGGCTAAAAAATAATGATATATTTATTTCTAGTGTAATGACTTGTAGATCTTTATAGTCTGCATTTTAATGATGAAAATGTTATTAAATTTTAAAACAAACACACGGAGAGTATACTATTAAATTTCAACTATGTGTGTCTATGTGTATGTATGAGAGAGAACGTTCGTTCGCTCGCTCGCGATTTCGCGAGATAAGAATGACTTCATTAAAATTCAACAGGTAGATCGAAAGTTCTTGCAGCGAGGGCGGGTCGGTGTGGTATAACTTTAAATGTCGTAACTTAAAAACCGCCGCTCGCGTTGCTGGGTTGAAATACACCGCATCTGAGCATTATCTCTGCTTACAATCTGCGCGACTAGCATTTATAAAGCCGGATTTTATAGAACAAAATTTAGAAAACACTGTGATCGCATCGGTATTTAAAACAGTCCTTGCCATGTAACGTTTTTAATTAGGAAGGAGATTGGAATTAATCGAGAGAGAGAGAGAAGAGTTAAGAATTATTCTTCCTCGCGATAACTAAAACTAGGTGAAAACTTTGCAAAGCTCTTTGCTCTTTCAGGATCTCATTATTGTCATCATATATTTAATACACATATATGCGTTTTCTCTCTCTCCTTTACTCATTCTCTCTTCCTTTCTCTCGGTAATAAAACATGATGCAACGCGTTGATTACGATCGAGTCGAAGTGCTGATATTTGAAGTACATCGAAGCTACAAGTCCGACAAACAAACTTGGTTCGTCAGATTGCAATTGGAGCACCTAAAAGAGACGAAAGAGAGAAAGAGAGAGAGAGAAAGCAAAGATTCACGGGATATCGATCAGATGTGGCGTATTTCTCCTATCGCTGATAAAAGAGGCAGCCTCATTACGACCTTTTGTAATTACCTGAGGGTCTGCAGTCGAGAAGAGGGCAACAGCTACCGGGCGTTTCGGGTTTGGCTGCTCGTACTTGAATCGGCCGTTGACCAGGTCGACATTTGGGCGGTGGACACGTTGGGACGCATTTGCAGGTACCGTCATCCGTTAAAACGCTATCCTCGGGACACGACGATTCGATCCGATGATGGTGATCTGCAAAACCGAGAGAGAGAGGCGTTCAAATTAAACATTTTATCTTCAACATTGAATTGCTCTATAAAATATGATATCCAACGTTTAGCGTAGAATTTTATTTAATTTTATAAAATAAAGATAACGCGAGAGCATACGTGCTATAACATTTTATTTTCATAAGAGAGAGAGAGTGTTCTCTCACCAAAGCGCGCACTTTAATCGTCTAAGATCAACTCTTTCGATTTGACACGAGCGGTTTAACCGAAGGGAAAGGCGCGATATTACCGCGATCGCCATCGTATATCATTTTCTCGGTTTTACATAACAGGCCACTCGGATTTTCCACGCACGGCGATTCGTTACACACACGGCAAACACCATTTCCCGTTCGCGGTACGCGTTTATAGATTCCATTACCTGAGGGAACGCAATTGTAGCGCGGGCAGCAATTACCGGGGGTCCCGGAAAACGTGCCCCTCACCAGCACCGGCCGTTGACCCGGTCGACACTTCCGGGGTGGACAGTCCGCGCATTTGCAACCGCCGTTCTCCTCGTTCGGCACGCTGTCCGCAGGACAGCCGTCGGCGGCTCCAGCTGGAAACAGAAAAATCGCCAGCGAGATTAACGTCGGGGACCGCAATTCACGAACGGACGCAAGACAAGAAAACGGCGCCTCGAAAGAGATATCCATATCGCGTTCGGATGTTGGATATTGTCTCCTTCAAGCGCTCGAAATTGTGTCCAATTTTTTTTATAAATCCGTATATATTTTATTATATTTTGCAGCAATTTACTGTGTTGCGAAGAGTAAATCGATAACCTTTCATACATTTTTCGAGCGATTTCAAACTTTTTATCAACAAAAAATGATTCTAGAATTCATCTCGAGTTTTCTGACAGCTAATTCTGCGACAACTAAATTCAATTATTTTTTCGATTCAATAATACAGTAACACACAATAGGAAAGTAGATTATTAGCAGATGTTTAGTTCTCAGCTATGATATCCATTCGATTTTTATTTATTTATTAAATTTCGCTAATTAAAACGTCGGATATATAGCAAAAAAAAAACTCATTCTTTTTCCGCGTCCAGGTATGACGAGTAGTAATTTCTTGAAACTAAATTCTGCACGCTGTCTCCCCCAAGTCGTCCCTAATGAATCTTTTAAATCTCTTCCTCATTAATGATCTGACAGGAAACGCTCTGTAATTACGCGGATATATATGATCGCGCGTGTGTGTGCGCGCGATTCTGCGAAAAAGATGTCAGATCCGGATCCTGGCGAGCATTACGGATTATACCGGTGACATTAATATAAATTCCCAAATGAGCGAAAGAAAGATATATATATATCCTTGTCAGACCCACAGGACAAGGATCGATTATATTATTCAACGGATTATCCCGACCGAAGAGATACGCGCATTGTGTTCCGCGTTGGAGATCGCGTATACCGGAGATGCGAACCGAGGGGGAAAAATTGCGAGTCTGCGATGGATGTCAAAACCATCGGGAATCTCGAAGGTATATACGACGCGCTGACAAATAAAAGGCACGAAAAGCGAGGTAAAAAGATACGCGCGCGCGCGTCCACGGTAAATTCCGCTTCTGCTGGTACTTTTAAGCGAATCGAAGCGGATATTACACGTCATGTGATGCGAGAGAGAGCCGTTGCATCGGATTATTTTCAAACGAATTATTTGTAATCGTCGCTATTTTTTCTCTCGCGTGAAAGTAGATATCCGAACGCGAAAAAGCTTCAAAGGCATCGTAAAAATCTTCTATCATATAATACTCGTAATCTGACAACCATATAGTTAATGTTTATAGCATACATGCTAAATCTTTATGTATCGAGATAATTTCTGACATCTCCATGGAATCCAAAAAATTTTAAAAACTGAGCGAATTATTACCGAAATGATCACAATTTATCGATTAATAAATGCAATCTAATTGTTTGATTATAATATTATCGTTTTATAAAATTCTTGTTTTCTGGGGAAGATTCTCTACCTTTTGATATGCACCGCTAAAGTATTTGTGTGTATATTGTGTTATTTTACTATATAGACTTGTATTATTGATCCTATATTGCGACATATCGCGAAGCACACTCCAATAAAGAAGAACATGAGTATCTGTAACCGTGAATCTCTCGGAGCTATGTGATATTGCAACGAAAAAGCAGATGTGAAAGAAATACATTGGGAAAGAAAGAAGGAGTTTAAACTCGTCCTTTGTATAGATTCTGAAAAGCGGAGTTTGTATATATATATTCGCCGATAGAGACAGTTCTTTCCTGGCGCCGTTAAGAAAAGCAAAATCTACGATATATCTATAGGAATTTTTCCAGTCATCCACTAACAAAATCTCGCGAGTCAAACGCGAATCTCCGAAAGCAATCGAAAGTTCGTTCGCGTAAAAACTTTTGTTGTCGTGTAAAAGTGATTTTTGTAAAAGAAACTTGATTCGAAAGGCGAAATAGCGGTTTAGAACAAACTATAAAGAATATTTTATAATTAGAACTTTTCTTTTCTATTGTATCTCTTTCAAAAGTGAATGAGCGAGAAAGATTAAAGAAGAGCGGATTCTCTCGAAACTTCATTTGCGCGGGGCCTAATAGAGAGAGAGCTTAAATCCTCCTCTATTCGGGAAAGTTTTACATCAAGTATCTCGCTCGTTTATAGCTTCGGGTGGCTTATAAAGTATTATACATCACGCGGACTAAAAGCAAGCGCGCACTCTCATCATTTGCGAGAGAGAATTGCCGTTTCAAAAGTCGCTCTTTTTCTTCTCGAAAAGAGCGGTTCTTCACCCGGTTCTTATCTACACACGAGAGAGCCTCATCAAAATCACCGATTGCGGTGCATCTCGTGGATGAGTTTGCACATCTTCCGGAACGTGCGGTCCGTTGTACATCCATTCAGACGAGAGAGAGGAGATCGATGGCGCTTAACAACGAAAACGCCGTGTGCATGATGCACTCGCAATGGTGCATCTCGGTGTCGGGACCATCCGTCTGTCCGCTCTTTGCGTTTCGGCCGCTAACATGACAGAAACGAGAAGATAGGATCTTCTTCTCGGTTGTGCGCATCAGCCTCTTTGTGTTTCGCAATTTCGCGTCGGAGATTTCGGGGCCGGATAAGTCTCAGCCTCCCAGTTGCCGCCTCCGGGGCGAGAAGGAAAGGAAAGGAAAAAAATAAAGCAAGAGATCAAGAGAGATATACGCGAATAAGACGCGCTCTTTTTCGGTTTTCGACGGCTTTCGACGTGACTGAAGAATACGTCGGTCAAAGATTACGCCATCGCGAGTCCTTTAAAAGGAAGAAGGGCTAAGGAAGCCCTTCTCTTTTTTCGCTTTCCTTCGTCTCCTTTCTCGATTCGTGAAAATTTAACGTGATATCCCCCTAAGCGATCAGAAAGCGATATCCGGATTTTATTGCGCCTGTCTAAAGTCACAATTTCGAGGTTTTAACGGTTCGGTTGCTGAAAGTCACTTTGAGCGAAAAAGCGTATTCCGGATTTTCATTTATTCGTTTATTCTTACTCCAGATTTTATGTATTTCGCTTCATGAGTCTTGTAACGTGGACTAAAATGAGGTCAAAGATTATTACAGAGATATTATAATCAGCTTTCGTTGTGGAAAAATTTCTAGCATATAGATGAAGTTAATGTAAACTTAAACAGCGAAGAGTGTAAATTTGAATTTTCGCGTAGAAAAAAAAATAATAATGATATATAGTTGGATCTATTACTTTATGTATACTGTTAATTTTGTTTTAAAATTTTTATTCAATATTAAAATTCATCTTAAATCTTTTCAACTCTCCAGATTTTTTCACAATTTTTTGTTGCTCTTATAACCCGAAAAGACTTAAATCATATTAATCATAAAATGAGTGGATCAAGATATATAATATTCAGTTCACTTAAAAAGTCCCCCTGAAGGCTTAATAGAGATTCGTGGTTTATTTCTGAATCGACACCCCCAACTCGTAAACTCGGAAAACAGACAAAATTTCGAGCGTTCATAAGAATGAACCCGTTGTTCAAGAGCGATTTGAAAGGGTCGATTCGTGCGATAATATTGTACGCCGTTTTCCCTCCGTTTTTTACTTTTCTCCACAACTCCCCAATTTTTTTCGGATATCCTTGCCCGCGGGATCGATCGGCGCGTTCTTATCTAAGTACCTTCTCGTACTTTAGGCAGCCTCGTCTTTGGGCAGGTACGCGTAAATCGATGCGAATCGCGCCGTAAAGATGTCCGGGTCGGATAGACTGGAAAGTATCCGGGCGAAATTAACTTCAAGGGTTTTGAAGATAAGACCAGAAGAGAAGAGAAAGAGAGGGAAATGGCGAAGATTAGTCATCTCGGGTCTCCATAATTTCGGGGAAAAAAAACAAAGTCAAGTATCCATTCACGCCACTCGCGCTGCGATACGATCGTCATCAGCTGATTTATTTCAGCGATGTATATACGATGTACATATGTGCCTCGTGAAACGACGGAGGAGAATCGGGAGATGAAAGTGGGTAATTTCCGGCGAAAAATAAAGTCGCGCGCGATGTGTCCGCGAATTGCAGAGATGTCCTTTTGCGAAAGAAGTTTCGATTGCAGTATAGTGATAAATGTCTAACGAAGGTTCATTTTTATAGTATTTAATAATCGCGCGTACTGTGCAATCTCTTCATGGAGAGAAGCATATTTTTGATTGGATATATATCATCATAAATTATCGAGCGTATTACTAGAAAAAGAAGAAAAGAATCGCGAGTATGAAAATTGCATACAGAATATCTATATCTCTTTGATCAATTTGATTGTGGAGACAAAAAAAACGCGCAGAGAACGAGTTTTATTGTAACGATTTTATATTCCGTATAATAATTTTCAGGCGAGATAAAAATTAGCATAATCGATAACGCGCACGCGAGTACAAATTGGAGAAATAATTGCACAGATTTTTATGCAGCGCATATTAAATATCGCGGTATCGCGCGCTACAATAATTCGTGAACAAGAAGAGATAGCATTCGCCATAAAACAATCGCATTGTCGATTGTGGAACAATGCCAGTCTCGTTTGCAGGCTCTCTCTAGATTCGGGAAAATCACCGCGGCCGCCAACAACAAGTTCATTCGGTATGCAGGACTTAACAGCCGAGAGGGTCCGGGTCAGGAGAAGGCCGACTAATGTAATATCTTCCATGTGTATACGAAACCATTTGTTCTTATTGTCAACACTCTTCGCGCGTTTCATTCATGCCGGGGCGGCAAATACGTCGCCCGACAAGCTTTCCTGGGCTGGCATATTCGGCACATTCAGATGTTGGTTCTATTTATTCCCCTCTCTCTCCTCTTTCTCACATATACACACACATACATATACATCACCCGATGCTGCACTGCTGGTGCAATACTAATTGTTGCACCGATTCGGCGCATCCAGACCGGAGCAACCGCGGCTGTATCTCGTTCATTTTGTTTGTTTCATCCAATCGTATTCTCGTTTCTCGTTACGCGCCTCGATATATTTCCTCTTTCTCGCTTCGTTATCGCGCTCGCCCGCGTTTTCCCTACCCTCCTC